GAAGGAGTGGAGAAGAGGTAGCTAATGGAAAGCTGCAGAGAGGTGTGTGATACCTTCCGGATGATGGATGGGAAAATTATCTTTGTGGTAACTCTCTGGATAGGCTGTGAGCAGAGCAAAAGTGCATTTGTCAAGGACAGCGAAGAGGATGTTGCAGTAATTGAGAAACATCTGTCTTCTGAAGACTAGGAATTTAAGGCAGCAGTCCCCTCGAAATTCACTCCGGCCAGTAATCTGCTCTGTGGAATGTCCCTCACCTACAAAGTGCTCAGTTTTTGTCCAGTAAGAATATGTGAGATTAATTATAAATGGTATTTAAAGTCCGTTGCACACCTTGTGTTTGCTTCTAAGATATCCTTCTGCTCTCTTTGGGCTGTAATACTGTGGTCTTCCAGAGAATCACAGGGCAATTTTTGTTTTTGTATATTTTGTAGCCATAGGAGTAAAGCAGACAAATACTATTTACTGCTGCAAATATTCAATACTTGATACTGCGCTCTGACAAAACATGTAGGCACAATACATCCAATTCATCTTTGTCATTAGGTGTAATGAAGAGCTATCAGGCCTACTCTTTCAGTTATTTCATGCAAAATTTTAAATCAGTTTCAACACTAAACACACAAAAAACTTTCTTAACGCTGTTCTTCAGTAGTGTAGTAATAAGATTGAAATGAGAAATAATCATGCAAAGAAAGCACTGACTGGGCAACAGTGTGTAAGGAGAAGATGTAACTGGTTGGTTGTGGTGGCCTTGGAGATTATATTCTTACTCCTGACACCAGTGGCTGAAACAGAAGTTGTTGGTCACGTCAGGAGGAAATGCCACGATGCCGCCGTCGGGCACGTGCAGCAGGTGCCTGAGCACGCCTGTGCCACCAGCTCGTTTCCTCCGGCTGCTGGGAAGCGAAGCTGCTGGGGTACCTGCAGGGGCACTGCTCCTCGTCACCACCGGCCGATAGATAGAAACAGGAGAGTGCATGTTCAGACATCAAAGATGAATATAAATAGGAAAGAAGCCAGAGATAAAAGGGACCATAAGGCTGAAACAGTCCACAGAGATATTACATGTTTATAGCAGGGTCTGTGGGAATAATGGGTGTTTATAAATGAGTTCAAGGGGATAATGTGTATTGAAATATGAGTCCAGAGGGAGAGTATGTATTCAAAAACTATCTACTGTATATAGCATAATAATCCCAGTATTTCATAAACTCATAGGAAAGTATTAAATAAAAATAAATTACAAATGTCTGTGGCTTGATTGCAAATCATTTCAGAGAAAAGGGGAAAAAAAAAATCCTTCACAAAATGTGGAAACCATCTTGTGTTAAATAGCACCAGAAAAAAAATTATAATTGTAAAAAGTAAATGTCAGTTATAGTTATTACAGTGGCCATGTTGTTTCCAATAACAATTTGGCATTTTATTTAGTCTGTAACAATCTACAATTTAAATTTAAAATAAAGATTTTTCTTTTATTTCCCTCTGAAGTTGTGTGCCAAGCACAGCAGAGCAGAATGTAACATCTGTTGATGATTAAAACAAGCTTTCCTATGGGCCCTGAATACAAAGTAAACATGGATTTTATCCATAGTCAACAGCATTTACAAATGTAAAGGGAGGAAGCTACTGAGTTTTTGAAGAATGAGCTGTGAGAGAGGAAATATAAGTATGGAACGGCAGATGGCGATAATTAGTTCCATATCGTGAAAGGCTTTCTATTAAAAAATAAAGAGGACAAAGTCCTGTATTATGCTGCCGTTTTATTAAAGCACCCTTTACTTGCCATTATTTTACCTTCCAGTTGGGTACTATCGTTGCTTGCTGATGAGCAGGGTGGCTCGGTTTGGAAACCGGTAGGTGCGCTTGGTGCTCATGAAGGCGAACAGACTAGGGCCGCTCAGAACAGGTCCCACCTCGGCATTGCTGGCGCTAGGTGAAATTGGGGAGGAATTTATTAAGTGGGCCAATTGACTACTAACCTTTCATTTTACTCTGATTTAATTTAGATTTTTGGGGTCCCGGGTATCGCAGGCAAAGGGTTGATGTGCCACGATGGTGCCCCTTGTCTCTTACTTGGACTATTCTTAATTACATGTTGCCCAGTTCTCACCTGTGTGTTAGCTGTCATCCCTAAAAAGCTACTTAATTTCTCTCTTACCAGAGTGAAACGTTTTTTGCATTCTTCTAGTCTATGTGTTTATTGTACCATCTGTATGTGCGTTTATTACATTACCCAGTTTCACCATATTAAAGAGTTAATTGTTACTGCTGGAATATTTTTATTTCATGGGGCTCCGCTTAGCCTGTTTGCCTTGCTTGGTCTTGCTTTGGATTTTTTCAGTTTTACTTAGAGTATCTTAAGTGAAATCTCAAAATGAAATTCTGATCTGCTGAAATTTACCTCCTTCACAACAAGATGACAAATGTCCTCCAGCTCCTAAGGCATAAGCCAGTCCCAAGCTTGCCTAAAAGATTTTTGAGTCTTCTTTTAAACCTGGACTGTTTTTTGTTGCTAACAAAAGCCATGTTATCTATCTTTTGTTTTTTCTGGAAATACTTTGTGGCATTCCAATTAATGTATTATTTTGGAGGGTTTTTTTAATTTTAAATTGTAGATTCTACTTTCCTCACTTCCATCTTCCTTCAATTTTCTTTCCAACTGGAAGCTATTGTAACTGAGCTCCTCACGTAGACAGTGGTGGAACTGCCTTTGTAACGCTGCACAAACATACAGAGTGTTACTCTCGCTCCCTCACTCCTTTTTTTTTTTTTTTTTTTTGCTTCCGTCATTTTATAATTACCTAAGGTGGTAACAGCTCTTAAGAGCCTAGTCTGTCACCCTGGAAGCAAATGCTTTTCATTGAAAATTAAGGAGAGGCTTCAAAAGTTTTAGTTCTTTCAGCAATGAAATATAACAGTCCTCCAGTAGAAAGAGTATTTTGATGATGGATCCCATTACACTGAGTAATGTAGGATGTAAGTATTCTTTTGTGGTTAAGAGGAAACATAAAGACTCAAGACTTGTACTTGCTTTCACTAAATGTGTGAGGCTGGCTGCTAACTGTGCCTAGTCTGGTGAAAAGTGCCGTATGAATAGCACGGCTTTGTCGAGATGTGTAGAGCCTGTACGTACCGTATACGAAAGCTGATCTAACAGCAAAGGAGTTATTAAAACATTCTCCTTCCTTGAGAGCTCCTTAGCCAATGGCTCTGTTATTCTCAAAGGTGTTAATGAAACTATCTCTTTAAACAGTATATCTGGACAACTGTTAACTATTGCAACGACAACTAGAAGGTGCAGAGTAAGGAGGTGGTTGTTACTGAATTAAAAAGGAGAGAATTCATTACTGTAATACAAAAAAATGCATTAAATTTAAATTTTAAATGTGAAAGGAAAAACTGTGTAGAAATCAAAATGACTTTTAAATTGCTGAAAAAAAATGTGAGGAGTTTTAGGCAAAATAAAACTAGATCCAAATAAATATGCAAATCTGCTAAGCCACATATTTTGGGCAGTGTTTCCCAAAACTCATAGCTTTAGCACAGTCTGCAGGTAACAATATTACATTTAAATATCTGACTTCAAAGAGAAATGACTTCAGAAGAAGCTTTGCTTTTCTTTTTAATTAAAACTTTGAAAACATTATTGGGGTGGACCCCAAAAGTTAAAAAGCAGAAAGTAAATAAAATGTTATGTCTTTTTATGTCTTTGCCGTTGGACCTTACAATTGCTCAGTCCCGTTACCTTGGCTCCAAGAGCCAAGGACAAGGGGGAGATGATGTGCATCAGTTTGGAGGCAAAGCAGATAGGCGCAGTGGTGGAGATTACAAAGGTGTCCACGAAGCGAGAGACTTGCCAGGTCCATGGAGAGATGTATTGGTTAATGGGCATTTGTGGGGCCGCTGCTCCTGCTGCTTTAATACCGGCGCTCTCGGGACCGCAGCTCCCAGCCCTTTCCCCTTAGGGCCTGTGTGAAAGCAGTGCCCAGCACCCTCTTCTGCTTTAGCTATTAGTCATTAATCCTGTTCCATGGCTCTATGCAAGGTAGCACGGTAATTGTACTTGGCTGGTTTGCAGCAGTGTTTTGCTGTTAAGAATCAGAGAAAACCCAATCTGAACTGTTTTATATGTCATACTGCATAGCATTTCCCTAAAGCAGTCTGTGTACATGACCAGTAAATAATTTACAAGTAGGCTAGTGACATGTGAACTGATAAAATGAAAGCACAATGTTTTAAATGACTTTATTACCTTGAAGTATCAGCAGATGCTCTTCCTCTTAAAAAAAAAAAAACAAAAAAACCGCAGCCAAACAAAAAAAACTCCTGCAATCTCTTCTGTCCCCTTTGGGACGGGCAGAGAAAGCTATAGTACAGAGCATTTTGTATTTGCAAGGCCCTTGGCCTCATCCCAGCTTTCACCAGTTTCCATGCAATAATGACTCTGGAGGCCCAGACGAGTATTGGAGCCCTTCCAGCAGATGATTATACTTCATCTGTTGGCCCTGTAAGGGAGGCTGTTGGAGAGCCGAGTCCCAGCCCAGGCCTCTCTGTGATGTTATGGAGTGCTACTAGAAGGCCACCAGACTAGCTCTGTCTTTCCTTTTAAATAACTAGCCTAATCATTTGCTGCTTGTAATTAAAATTTTGAGTCAGTCACATGTGTTGTAAATCTGCTCATGGAGAACTTAGTTAACTAATAAAAATTAGCCTAAAGTTGTGTTTACCTGAGCAACTGGAAACTAAATTCTGGATAAATCAGCTCCAGTCCCCTACTACCTAGTGTAAAACCTCTGTTCCTGAGGAAGCTCACGCAGAAGCTGCCCAAAGGCTAGCTTCAATCCCATTTAATAAAAGCCATTGTTTTAGCTTCTGCGCAGTTTGGAATCAGGCCATAACATAGGATGGAAACACCTTGTAACACTTACAGATGATCTCCTACTTTCAGTGGATTGAGCCTAAACTTCCGTTTCGCCTTCTTATTTTGTCTGCAGAGTCGGATGTTGCAAACTGAGAAGTGTTTCTCATCAGAGGGGTGGCAGGAGCAAATGCAATAGCAGTAGCTGCAGAGAACACCTCTGTCATCACACGCTCCGGGCTACAGGGGATGGCTTTCCTTACTGCTCTTAATAAACATCTACCTTGGTCCACTAGAAGAACTGGTAAGATAAAATGGACTTATGTGCCATAAGTATGAGGTGATACTCAGCTTTACTTATGTTTTGCCGTGCAGTTCTATCACTGGCATGGTCCAGTACTTGGCAAGATCAACCCAAGTGAAGGCTGGGGCTCGCTGCCCTCAAACCAGCATGAAGTAGCTTACTGGGGTAGCAAGGGTCTAGCCAGGACTTGACTCTGTCCTGTGTGCTGTTTGGTGGTTGTACAGTGGCCTGTTCCTCTGCCCTGTGTTTGGGATGGCAGTTTCGGTGACCGGCCAGGGCAAGCCCTGCGAGAAGTTTGCTGTATGGTGCAGCCTTGTTTGCCTGAAGGCTCTGGCTCAGAATCGGTCAATTCAAACAGTGCTATGAAACCTGAAAAAATCAATGTTTGTTCAACAAGACTCTGTACAAAGCATTTGTGACTTGAGTTAATTTTATTCCCATCCTCTAATATTTTATTGATCAAACCTTACATTAACTTTCATTACTTTCTGCTGAGGATTGATGTCAGGTTAAGTAACCTGTAGTTACAAGTCATCTTGGTGGCTCTATGTGAGTAAGGATATAATCTTTACACTCTTCCAGTGTTCTGCAATTTCCCTAGTATGTTAACTTTTTTCAGTTCATATTGACAGGTCAGTGATCTCTCCAGCCAACTCCTGCAGGACTTAGTAGCACTAGGCATCCAGGAGCCTGGAGATTTTAGTTTGTTTAATACCTCTCTTGGCTAGAAATAGACTGAAACTAGCTTGTTGCCTGCATCTGATTTGAGTTTTTTTGTGTCTTGCCTTACAAAATATTTATTGACCGGTTCTGCCTTATCTGTATCCTTGTTAGTAATATGATCATCTTCATGTAATAATAAACCGATTTTGTGCTTAGAATTTCTTCTGATATCCTAACACACTCCTCTTCACTGGCCTTATCTGGCTAGTCTGGACTTTGACATCCTCTGCCTTTTTTATCATTGATCTACACTTCAAAATTTCTAAGCGTATATTGGTTCCCATTTCTTTTCCCTCCCCTTAACATAGATAGATAGATAGGTACATTGGTGTTCTGACTTCTCCTCTTGATAAGACCTCTCTCTCCTTTTCCCTCTCCTCATTTTTTGTGGTAGATGATGGTATAACCCATTTTTAATTTCTCTTCATGTTTTTTCTTTAAAGTCTTTTTTGCTTTATTTTCACTTCCATTTTTTTCTTGCATTTCAACTCATTGAGAATATAAATCCTGAATGGATTTTCTCCTTATTTTGCCTGTAAATGAAGCAATGCTGGCTATATGGCAGGACCACTGGTCCCTGAGCAACCGCCGACTTGAAGGCCAGAGACAGCTTGGCTTTCTCTGTCACAGCGAGGTTCAGGACGGGTATCCTGTGTTACCTGAGACCTTTGCAGCTGGAAGGTTTGTAGTTGAGTGTTGGCGGCCTGGGGGAGCCTGGCTGGTGCAGAGGGGCACCTGGCGGGTCTGGGGCAGGCAGCAACCCATGCTCTGTGGTCCAGTCCTTCATCAACACCTTGCTGGACTGCAGCAATGGGATTTCATTGGAAAAGGCAGTTTTGGCGCATATATATGTGTTAATTTGCCCTGGTCTCCGGGGGCTGCTCGTAGGACTTGTCGGTTAAGGGTCTGGTGCTCTCCTTGAGGTGTTCAGTAGCCTGGAAATGGGTATTGCATAAGGTCCTACAGAGAGGACAATAGCTAACAGTTTTGCTCACCTGTTATAAGGCTAAAACTGCTTTCTGAAAGAAAAGATTTCTTGAGGTTGAGCCCAAACTGGGACAAACTGCTAGGAAATAAAGACCATTCGCTTTCCTCTGCTCTGTGTTCACTAATGCAGGTACAGAGCAATTCTCTTTGCTCTTGTATGCATACAGAAACGCATACGTGATGGAGATTAGTCTCATCACTTAATGCACTTCTGAAAGATGCACAGGCACTATGCAGAGGAGACGGGGAAAGTCGATCTTGAATTGAAGCAGCATTTGCCAAATGTAGTTGCCAAATTTGCCAAGCATTAACGCCCAGATGCCACAGGACCTTCCACCTGGCTCAGACAGACCTGGGATCTGCTATTTCCAGTCAGTGTGCTGGAGCCTTCTTCGGTCTCTCCCAAAGCTCTCGCAGCAATATCGTATTAGTGACACTCCCATTTGATTAAAACTGAAAATGTGAGCATCACTCCTTGGAAATACAGAAAGAATAGATTATCAGTGACTTCTTCAAGTTGAGTCAGAATCTCAAGAACAAATAATTATAGAGCTTTATAGCAATTTAAAAATATTCAGATGTCCACAGCTTTTAAGGTTTTGTTATTTATATAGCTCAGATGGTCTGCATGGTACATTAAAACAGGTATGCAGGAAAGATTTCTCCCTTGCATTTTTTAGTTTGATTTTTTGACAGAGTGTCAAGGTGGCAATCTCCTTTTGGATTATTTTGTCTTTTATTACAATGAAATATGTACTTGTAGGTTGCTCTGAAGCGTTCTCTTTGAATTTTTTAAAAAAGAGGTGCTCAGAAGAGTTACAGATAGGATAATAAAGAACTATCACAGGCTGAAATTGGAGGGTTAAATGTGCTTGCTTCATTCTGATACATATAAAACCCACAGGAATGGCTGAGACTAATATATGCGTATCTCTTGAAAAATGGCTCTCATTTCTTGAAGATTGCTGGGCTTAACCATAAATAGAAGACTATTACGTGCGCGTGGTTTTCTACCAGCACTCTCTCTAGGTTTCTTGAGTACTCTTTAGTGGGAGAAAGATGCTGGAATTACAAAACTGCTGTACAGAGAGACAGGTTCAAAGTAACCCTGTAGATGTTACTAGTAAAGAGCTGTAGATGTTACATAGTAAAGAGCTTAGACCTAATCAGAAGTCTATCAGGTATTTGTGATGGATCCAATAAAGAAAATCATTAAATGATTGCAATAGATGTGGCAGGAAGAGAAAAGTGATGTTTCCTGCACTTCTTCCCAGTCTTCCAACAATTCCCGACTTCACCAGACTTAGGAAGAAAGCTTCCTTTGCCTATTATGCACCAAAGAAAACCAGATCATGTCACAGCAACAACTGCAAACTTGCTGACCCTCTTAACCTTCAAAAAGTGAACCCAGGGGCTCACTGTCCACTGAATTGAAACCTCGATAACAGCAGTAAGGGCAAAATGTATAATTCTGAGGTGGTATTTTATTTAGAGCCAAGTTACTGGTCCTGAATTAATACTATGCATTTCCTTTAATAACATGAGAGATGAAGTAAGCACCATCAAACTCACGTTGGAGAACGATGATAAGGGAGGAGTTGTGTACAGGTGATATGAGGTTGTTTGTAGAAGTTAGAAGCAGGAAGGGAAAAATGAAATTCAGCCTTGAGAAGATACAGATGATATAGCTGCCTGTGTGTGAAAGTAGTAATCCATCACAGGTATATCCAACAGGAAAAGCTTGGGGTGTGGTAATGCTACAGACATTTCAGGGTGACAATAGATGGCAAGCTACATATGAGTTTGCAATGTAATATAGGAAAAATTACCAGTACGATTTTGGACAGCATGCACAAAACCAAGAAAGTGACCCCGTCGGTAGCTTTTTTTAACAGCCAAACAAGTTCATAGGAAAGGAGAAGAGATTAAGAGAGTTAAATTTGTGCAGCTTGGCTAAGTGGTGACCAAGCAGGAACATGAGCATACAAAAATGCCAAAGACTGTGAGCAATGACAGAAAAAAATGTTACCTAGTGTGATGTCCACATTGCAAACCAAAGATGAGTGACTGAAAGAAATTTTTATGCAATAGCAAGGAAAAAACAACCAACCCATGAAATCTTTAAGACTATGCCAAAGTCCTTCAAAGAAAGGAGAGAGAACTGAATTACTCGGAGTTTTAAAGCAACATTAAGTAATGGCAGAATATCTAATATGGTAAAACATTGTAGATTGCTGAGATGTCCACAACCATTTGATGTTCTCACCACTCCCAAATGCCAAATACTCAGTGATTCCTCAGTGTATCTGATAGCACATGTATTCCTTGGTATTGCATAGATGCAAATTTTTCATATGAGTGAAAATTAATTTTTTAGTGTCAGAATCCGTAGTTTATACCTTGAATCTTTACTGCAGCACCCACCTTGTTGATTTTTAAGATCTATGTTGTCCATAATTTTGTGTTGTGCAAGGGGTTTTTTTGTTGTTGTTGTCTTGCTTCCTTTAATTTTGCCTGCGCAGTTTGGCAGGACACTCTGTCTCGAATAGCAAAGTTAACAACTTCCCTTCCTGCAATCATACTGAATTCTGATCTTTCCCCTGTGAGGGACCTTTTTGTGCATCCCAGACTCAGATGCTATGCAGCACCACTCCTTCTCTGAAATAACTTCCAGACGTGTCACAAATGTGGTCAACCTGTTTACAGAAAAGTGTCCACAGGAGCGTGCATGCAAGGCAGCTGGGAAAACAGAGGTTGACTCACCAGCATGTTTCTGTTTGACTTGACCTGTCACAAACAATGAGAATGCATAAGTAAATACTCCACATCTGGCGGCCTGATTTGAGGCTGCATTGATTTGTCTGGTGTAAAATAAAGCCAAATGCTCATAAGTGTTCAAGCCTGCATTGGTAAAACACTGGGATTTCAAAATGTATTAATTTGTTTTTTATCTTAATGGCTTTTAACGGCATGGCACTGAGTTCTTGAACGTGCATGCCTTGAGACTCATTGCGGGCAAATTGCTTTTTTTACCTTAGCAGAACAGACATACAGGTTGTTTGAAAGGCTTCATTGTAACAGCTCACAGGTGATTATAAAGTTCACGGTGGAGATGCTGGCATGGGACCACAAGGGAGCAATTGATCTTCTGCATTGCACTTGGTCAGTCACTATCACGTTTATTGTTTTAAGATGTCTGTATAATAAACAGCTAGGAAAACTGTCTCCACAGTGGTGTCATCAAACCCAGAAACCTATGAGAAGGAGGCTATGATAAAAGTAGTTTCTGCACGTGCTTGGTTTCAGACTGTTAACTGAACAGCATGTTAATATGGTCTAGTAATACCTAATAAAGCAAAGAGTTATGATTTAATCCAGTAAAGGAAAAGTTGGCAGCTTCTCATTGCAAGAAGCTAATGGCAAGTCCATTTTAAAATACACAAATCCCACGCTCTGCTACGTGGAGTATTTGTGCCGTGGAGATGTGCCATACTCTCCTGTCCTCTTCAGTATTGTGTGCGAATGTAGTCAGTCATTACATTCCTAACCTTGTTTTCAGTGCGTGACAAAATCTTCTATATGGTGTTTAGCTCATGAACCAGACCAAAATGGAATTTAAAGCCTCAGTTGTTCTTTGTGGTGTTGGTCCCTTACCCAGGCTGCAAGAATCAGTTTCATAAGTAACCCAGCAAATACAAGAGCAAATGACTGGGGCTGTTGGGCACTTAGAAAACAAAAGGAAAAGTTTTGCTGAGTGTTTCTTTATTCAGTAGCAGCTAAGCCATCTGCTCCATCAAACCCAGACAGCACGGGCTGACTCAGAAGTGTACATCTGAAAAAGGTCCTAAACACGGCGTTCAAACAGCACTTGGCTTTTTAGCTATTTTATCTGCAACACTTAATGGCTGGCAGACAGGTCTCATCCCTGGGTATTGAATGCATGTGTTCGAGTAACGCTCATAGATAGCTCTCTTTTCTGAGCCCTGGACAGATAAACTTGTTTTGCTTTTATAATGTATGCTTTTGCTGGTTGGTGCTCTTATCTATTCTGGTACATCCTGATGTTCCCTCACACACAGACGCTGCTTTGTTCAAGTATTCATCCATAGCCTGAATTATTTATTCATTCTTTTTTTTCCCCTTAATTTTTCCTTCTGCCTTTCCCCTGCTGGTGTCAAATGAATTCCTGTTTCTCCAGCAGCTCAGCAGGGCATGGATTAATGCAGCTGGAACACGACTGCAGCAGCGTCAGGAAGCTGGAGTGACCTCCTCGATGGAAAAAAAAAAAAATTGAAAAGTATCCAGCAGTTAGAAATAGAGGGGGAAAAACTCTTGGATACCTCTTGTTCATTTTCACAGCAGATATGTTCCCAGCATCTCTGTTCCGCTGGGAGATGAAATATAATGCAAATCTTTAATAGAAGGTAAAATTGAAAGTGCAAATATTGAGTATGAGTTGTATTGAAAGAAATTGCCAACCATGAACCAAAAAACAGGCAAACTTTAAGTGCTTAGTTAAGGCTAACAATTATGAGTTCTTTTCCAACAGTTTTGATTGTTTCAAGCAGCATGATGCAGTAGAAAGTGTCTCCTTTCCTGTTGTCCTTCTGCTAATGGCGTGATGAGTTTTGATTACATTGCAATTGCATCCCTAAAATGTGGACGGCTATGGTAACTATTTGGGACATCAGTTTTCCTTCTGCCAACTTTCAGGAGCATTTTATAGGATTAATATTCAATAAAAAACCCTTAACATTAAAAAAATGCTCAGTCCCACAATTGTTATTAAATTCTTTTCCTGTGCCATAATGCGGATGCTTTGATCTAAAGTCCTGCAGTTTCTGGAAGGAGCTTGCGTGATTACGATAATGTGCAGTGCTCTTTCTGCTATTCCTATAGGGAAAATAAACCCCACATTAGTTCCATATTAGTACCTGACTTGGAGAAGTTAAAAAGTGCCAGAAAAAGGTTAACCAGAGTCAAGTACACATAAGAGAGCTGTGATTATTAGTGTTAAGGGAGCCATTTGAAAAAAAACATTTCTGCTTTTACAGAAGAATTTATTGGTGTCTTTGCTTCTGGCTGCTTTATGCATTTTAATAAAGCAGTAGCAGCAATAATAGGATGTGGGAGCTGGTTATGCTTGTGTAAAAAGAAAGAGTTTATCTGTGCGATGTTGCTCCCGTCCCTGCCTTTAGCCTTCCGCACTGGCTTCCCAAGCATACAGCTACGTTGCCAGTCAATTCTATGTTTATTTTCACCTAAGCTGGAAATGGGAGTTACAGGTAAGAGCATGTTGTTCAACACTGCTCTGAAGTTTACATTCCTAAATGTAAATTCAATTCCAGCTCTTTGACTTTCCAGCACATGAACTGGATCCATTTGGAGAGCCATTTAAATGAAGGCAATAATTGTTTTTGTGTGTTAAAAGTTGCGTATAGCCTACAAGCAGCTTTTGCAATTTCCCTGCCAAATGTCTGGGATTATTTTGAAAATGCACTCTATTGAAAACAGTTCCAGTCTCAAGATATACTAGCACAATCAAGGCAATATTCAGGTGTCCGTTGTAACCGACTGGGCCTAGAGAAACATTTTTGGGTAGAGTACATGTTAAAATGCTCGCTGTGCAGAGTCCCCAAACTGCTGAGTGTTGTCCGGGTCGAGGGTGCGTCGGGAGGGTTTATGCTCGCACCGAGGTCTCCTGGGGAGCCTGCACCTCCGGGGCCGGCAGAAACAAGCGTGAGGCCAGGGGAGACGAGGGTTGCACCCCACGTGCCTGTTCTCGTGGGCACCACCTCAGTACCTACACACGCTCTTCATCACGAAGATCAGAAAAAAACAGATGGCAATTACAGACTTCCCTCTGCTTTGCTGTATATGGGTAGCTCATATGCAGAGACGGTCAACTGTGGTTTATCCCTGTTTGGCTCTGATCAGCAATTTAATTTTTTTCTAGAGCGTATAGAGCAGTTAACATGGGTAAATTCTTTTTAGTTTGTACAGTGGTTTGCTTAAAAAGGCACGTATGAAATGAAGACACCCAGAACAAATGTAAATGGTCTGTCTTACACAGGATGCATTTTGAGAAACGTGGACGCGTTCAGTACCTTTGGACGCCAAGGGAACGTAAAGATTTTGTATTTAAAATTTTAAATACTCTTACTTCATGTTTAGTTTGAGTTAATTTCCCTTTCACAAGGCATCTTTTTTGCTGGATGTTTGCAGCCATGGATTTCCATTCTATCTGGTCTTTAGCTGGTCTTTTTGTGACTTAATAGTCCCTTTGCTCTGCACAAGATATTTCTTTGTCTATCCAGTCCCTTCTTCTCCCTTCTGTTTTTCCCCTCACTTATAAACACACATCATTTGCAGAGCATCTCGACATGTACCAGTGAAAACCATCTTCTTTTTATAAAGTTTCTATTTAGTAGCAACTGAGTTTTAGCAGTCTGTCATTATTGTTCTTTGCTGTTGTTGATCTGTGGTAGTTTTACAATTTTTTAATTTCAGTTCAGCACAAAGACCTGTCATTTATTTATGAAAGACTATTACATTGTTCATGCTTCACAACTGCAATTTAACATAAAACGGGGGTGCGTCTTGAAGGTCAGATTTTGCTCTGCGATGTATCGTTCCTCTCTTCCAGTATTTACCTTTCTAGACTATTTCTTTTTTCTTTTCACTACCCTGGCTCTGATTTCAGGATCCGGTTTTCTGTTGCCTGTAAAGATGCTTTCTAGGCAGTAATATTTTTTCACGTGTTATGCAATTGTCCCATTCATTCACATGGAGAGATTCAGAAATTATTTTGTTTTGCAGGTCTGTAAGCCTATCTGAATTTCCGCATCTGGAAAGGCTCATGTTGTCTGTCATGTTAGTGCACTGGGACAAGACTTCTGATGGAAATACTTAATTCTCAGAGCGGTGCTGGATAATGGTAAGTCCTTTGTGAAATATTGATTTGAATTTAAGTGTCTTTCCTCTTCCCATTGGCTATGGGACATTCTATTCAACCTCATTTCCACTGTTTCCATTTCAGGGGTTTTCAGGCTTTGTTTTCCATTTCGGCACTCTTCCCTTTCCTGTCCACATCCTTGCCAGTTTTCTCATGTTCCCTCTTACTGCTTTACTTCAGGATTATCCCATCTCATGAGCGTTTCTCCTAATCCCTGGTTCCCTTCTCTTGACTCAGCTTTGTTAGTCATTAGTTACCGTTATTTATTCAGTGCAATGGATGTTCGTGGCCCGTCCAGATGAAATCGCAATTGATCTTAAATATAGCCCAGGGAGAAAAGACATTTGACAAAAGGACAACATGGATGTGATAACAATATGGATTTGATAAGCAGATCATGTCCAGTCAGTCTAATTTCCCTCTTCAATGGAGTAACTTGTCTGCTGACTAGGAGGAGGCTGTAGATGTGATGTACTTTAAATTCAATAATGCTTTGGCACTGTCCCACGCAGCTCTGCATACAACTGTCTGCACTGAAATACTGTAAGATGGGTACACATTTCCTAGGAAAATATTCAAAGTGCAATTATCAATAGTTTGTTTATAAACTGAGAAGATAGATAAATGAAATGGAGACCCACGAGGATCAGTCTTGGAATAGCAGCTGTTCAGTAAGTTCAGATCTATGACTGATGAAACAGTGAATACATTTTTAAGACCAGTGGAGGAAACATTGGGAGTGGAAACATTGCTATCCCGTTGGAGGCCAAGATAAGAATTCAAAATAATCTTGGCAAGTTTGAAAACCGGACTGAGATTATGGAGTTGAAATTCAATTAAGAAACCCACAAATGGCCATACTTATTTATTTTTCCTTCCTAAATACAACGTGGAGAGAAACTGGCTAGGTAGCAGAACTGCAAAAAATTTACAGAGATAACCGCAAATTGATGGTGACTTGACAGTGTGATGGTGTGTATTAGTGTCTTGGTGTTGATGCATTCTCGGGTGTGTTATCAAGAGCGTTATATATTAAGACATACTTATTGCTTTGCACTGATCAGGGCCTGCAAGGCGTCACTTACATTTCAATATGTGGTTAAAGCATTGCACTTTGGAAAAGATACTAAGTAATTGGAGGAAAACCAGAGGAGAGCAGGAAAAAAGACACTATTATTTGCCCAGGGGAAGGAGAAGCACAGGAGAAATTGTATGCATTTCCAGAAGAACAGTGCAGAGTGTGATGACTTGTGGAGGCAGCAGTGTGTGAAGCCATGAACTGGAGGGTAGTGGTGGCCTAAGGAATAGGGTCTGGGAGGGCCGAAGCTACTTGGCATATAAAAAGGGCAGGGAAAGGATATTCAGTAATGTAAGGCGATGTGCTATGCACAAAGTCATGTTATGGTACTTGTTTTGAAAGCATCGTATCGTCCACCAGCTGCAGTTTACATCTTCTAGTTGGTCTTTTGTCATTCTCATTTTTGTACTGTTGTTTCTACTTAGTGACTTCTCTGAGGCATCTTTCTGCTGTCCCTCGTGATGACTCTCACGTTGCAATGTATTCCTTCCAACTTTGCCTGCCACGTGAACAAAATAACCTCTATCTGTTTCTCCCCTTTCCCCAATCAAAGTGGAAAATAAGATGTAGGGTATCTGAAGAGGGCTAGAAGCTGAGCTTTTTGTTCATGGTTTGCCCATGCAATTTCCCCTTTTGCTTTAAAGAGTATGATGTCACCAAAAATAGTTCAAGGAAGAAAAGAACGTTGAAAATTTCTGGCAGTGAGCCAAGTTTTCAATGCTAAGAATCAATTATTTCCTAATATTTTAAAACTAAGATAACCACTCTTATTTTGTGATTAAAACCTCTTATTGCCAGAGGAGTTTTAACTTTCAAAAGAGTGCTGATTGTTATGGTCAATGCTACTGGTAGAGGAAGGGGACTTCATACAGTATTCTGTGTGTTTTTCAGGGTTGCCTTTAGCAAATAAAATTATTACATGAAATAAAATAACTGTGTTTGGAAAGAATTACAAGGTGGCATAATTAGACATTGGGTATTTTTAAGCTTAATTTACCACTTCAGAGCTGCAAAAGATGGAAGTAATTTATTTCATCTTGGTAATGCTCCTTTCTGGTCCAGCAATTTATCAGAAATGGTAATCCAGCAAGCAGTAAGTGTGTATATAGTGGGAGGAGGTAAGGGGAATCGAGGAAGGAGAGGGAGAAGGCATTTAAAATTAGCTTGAAAATATTGTACATTTCATTAAAAATGTAATTATGCATAAAATGAGATCAATGAAAATTTATCTAAAAGTGCAAGGAAAAGGAGTTTTCTGGTATGATACTGGGTACAATAGACTGGATTTTAATTTAGTCAGTTTGCAACGAAAATCCTTCCAGGCTAAATAAAACAGTTTTCCTCCCAGTTATTGTATGGACAGCTAATTTTCTGCACCTTTCCTTCTAATATTCAACCTTATCTCTGGCTGGATAGAGGTTTCAATATACTGCAGAGTTTGTTTGCTTTACGTTTTCTATTACTGCAATTTAATTTGCATGATAAATGATGAGAGGTAAAAAGATGATAAAAGAAGCAGAACACTTCTTTATTAATTTTGTTTAAATTAGTGTAACTTTTTAGTGACTGTGTTTTTTACAAAGAATACCTATGTCGAGATTATTTTAAGACTCTGTATTGCAGTTAGAAAAAAATGTTATACTTAACAAAAAGCTTCCTGCCGCATATGACATTATTATGCTTATTATTATATTATTATCATACGTTTTCTTCCTTTACACCATGTCTAATGATACTTCTTTATTGTTCTTGTGAAATCCACTCTCAACCTTATTGCAGAATCTAAGATACAGAAATGGTATTTTTTTTATATGTGGATTACATAATACTGAATTTATTATTTATTTTCTGCTCTTCAAATCCTTTCCTCAAGTTAGTTTTGCAGCCTTTGTATGAGCACCAGCAGAAAGCACCAGAGTAAGGATTCATTTATAAATATTACAGCTTTCTTTACCTGTGAGCCTGAAAACTCTTTTATAAAATACTTCAGTACTTCTTTGTTTTCCTCCTCACCATGATAACTGGTGAAGCCAGTTCATCATAACTGGCTTCTATTCGGTCATATGTTTTAGAAAAAAAACTGGAAAAGTACTAAATAAGTTTTGCCAACAGCATGCCTTTGGTAGCCGTGCACAGTACATACCCGGGAATACATTTGCCTTTTTACCTCTATTATGTCTACTTGTGTATTAGTTAAAAATCCACTCACAGTAATGTATTTGGTAACACAGAGAACTGTGAAACTTGTTCACATTATCCTGCATCAGTACCAAAAGCTTACCTGGGTCCAAAAGATAATTAGAAAATAACCCCAGAACACTATTGGAAGGAAAATCCATCAGGGCAATTAAACACAGGATATGCCCTGGCTCAAAAAGCCTGTAGGCAGCAGTGTGCTGGATGCCAGCAGGGAGCCAGGGCAACGCTGGCGCGTGCCCCCGAGCTGCTTGTCAGGCGCCGAGCGCGATGCACCCCGGCTGGACCAGCGCCGCTGGTCTTGGCTTCCCCTCCTGGCTGCTAAAGAGCCCTGACTTTTGGGGCTTTGGTTCTCTGCCTCAGGAGAGATTATGCCTCGGCTGTGGCATTGCACCTTCTTGCTCCTTACAAGGGATGAGATAAAACGACATTAGCTCAATTAGATGTCATTATGTCCAATTTATGCATGTCGTCTATGTCTTTGCATCTGCTAGAATGGGCTTGAAGGCAAAATTCATTTGTCCTGTTTTTTCAGATTCTCACACAGCTTTCGGAAACAGTAAGTGCAGATGCTGAAAACAGTACTCATTATCCCAGCAGAAGTCTGAGCTTATTTCTGTGAATAACAATGAAATGTTCAAATACATTAGATAAAACTTGCCTGTTCCTGTCCAGAGTCCTCTGGAGTTCAGTCCTCCAGAGTGATGTTGGAGATTTGGACAGTTATTCGCGTGTGATGAACTCCGGATGCATGTATTGCTTCCCTATTTATTTATCTGCAAGCATACTCAATAAAATATCTAAAAGTGGTGACTTGGGCATCCTTCACCACCTTACTTGCACCTTGCTTACCGCTCCGTGTTTCTTCCAGCAGCACAAAGATTTGATCAACTTTATTCACAGCTGTAAGTTTAAAATACCTGCTCATTGCAATGTTTCCTTTTCTTCATATTTTTACTCCACGTGTCCTCACAGTTTGGAGCAGTGTAGCCTCTACCGACGATCCTTTTGGAAGGTAATAGCGCATAGCAGCTAGAAAAGAAAAACCTTTCAGCATAGACATTATGACATTCTTTGTATTTCAATAGGCACAGAACTTTCCCTTAACTCAGGTCGATTCAGAGTATTAATTTTAAAGTTATGATTTTTGGAGAGTAAATTTATTTAAATTCATTCTAGTGCCTGGTTTGACTTTGCTTAGTGTTACCAAAGCTGAAGAGAATCTCCACTGAAGTCCTGCAATGAAGGAGAAATGTGGGTCCTTTGTGTGATATTTTTTTCCTTTCCTTCTGAGGTTCATGTTAATTAAGCACAAAGCAGTTAAAGTTTTACAGGTGGAAGAATTCAGTAAGTTTCCTTAAATATATTTATAAGTGCTTGCTAGAATACTTCCAAAGTAAATTCCAGTAAAATTTATGATAAATGCATGTTATAGGGTATGGCTATAATGTTACTGTCATGAGTTTGGAATGCCTTGCCTTAGCCCCCCCAGTCATAAAACCATCATAATGCACCATCCTGCTTTTGCAAAGCATAGATTTACATGTTTACAAATGTATTTGGATATTAGCACCTAAAAGGAGAGGCATGCATAGTGTGGGGATTGCTTTACATATTCCACTGTAGCATTTTTGTGAATTTTTCCATAAGCTTTGTTGGTATGTTCTACAGGCGTTTAAAAAGAGGCAAGGAAAAAGTACTGAAGACA